TCCTCCTCCCCCTCGGTCATGAAGAGACTCTCGTCACACCCGCTAACTTTGAAGCCAAGAGCCTCCAACGCCTCCACCAGCCTTGCATACCAGCACCTTGGAGCTTGTTTGAGGCCACAGATGGCCTTGTTGAGCCTGCAAACACGTCCGCTCCCATCGTCATACCCCTCTGGCTGCTTCATGTAGATCTCCTCATCTACCACGCCATAGAGGAACGCTGTCTTCACATCCATTTGCTCCACCTTCCAGCCACAAACGGCAGCGGCTGCTAGCAACAACCGGAGTGTAGGAGCCTTGGCAAAAGGAGCAAACACCTCTTGAAAGTCAATCCCCTCCCTCTGCTGAAAGCCTTTGATCACAAGCCTTGTCTTTCGCCTCTCCAACCTCCCCTCCGCATCGGTCTTCACACGTAACACCCACGTGCAGTCCAACGCCCTCCTTCGTGGGGGCAGATTGGTAAGGGTCCACGTTTCATTCTCCATGTGGCTCTGGAACTCATCCTCCCTTGAAGCCAGCCATGCCTCTCGATCATCTCCAGCGAGAGCTTCCTCCATTGACGCCGGCTCATGAGGTAAGTTGACGCCAAAGCAACAAATCTGCTCCATCTCCCCCTTGGCTCCCTTCTCCTCCTCATCTTCCTCTTGCTGGACCAACAATGCCTTGGGAACCCCAAGCCTTTCATACTTGAGGAAATTCCTTGGGTGGGCAGCTCTCTTGGGCCTCTCTTTGGCTGCTCCTTCCTTGGCTCCACCACGGACAGCATCACGCTTCCCTTGGGTTGTGCGCCTTGGTGGAAGCTTAGGGGATGGTGTAGGCTGCTGCACCTCCTCCTCGGTATCACCTCTCTCAGCTACAGGGGCCTCCCCTTGCTGCATTACTTCTTCCACATCTGCTGCCTCCCCTTCAGCACCTCCCAAGTCATGTGACACCTCTGTCAACTCTGAAGATGAGGAGAACTCGATGGGAATGAGAAATGGGTCATTCGTTCCCACCTCTATTCCAAGCGGAATGGTGACCTTGCTCCTCCCTCGCACCGACCACTCCTTGAACATGAGCCCCTCCATGAACTTGGCATCTCTGGTGGTGAAGACGGTGTTGGATTTTGGGTCCCACATGAGCCAGCCCTTGCTCCCCCGTGCAAGACCCAAATGAACAGCCCACACCGCCGCCGCTTGAAGCTTGTCACGCTTCTCCTTAGGGACATGCACGAGCCCCATGCACCCGAAGACACGAAGCATATCAACCAGTGGCTTCTTGCCACTCCACTTCTCCATAGGGACCCAATGCTGACCTCCCACATGAGTCAACACCCGGTTCTTGATGACGGTAGCATGACGAATAGCGAGGGGCCAGAACCGCAAGGGTAGACCTGAGTCCACCAATATCGTTCTCCCGCCCTCTATGATGGTCCGGTTTGCTCTCTCTGCCATGCCGTTGGACTGAGGGGTGTAGGCTGTGGTGAGCTGCTGCTTGATGCCGTGCCGCTTCAACCAGCTCCGGAACTCCGCTCCCAAAAACTCCCCACCACGGTCGCTACGAATCGCCTTCACCCGCTTGCCGCTCTCTCGCTCCACCATGGGCAGCCACTCTTCAATGATGACCCTTGCAGCATCACTCTTCTTTGCAAGTGGAAAAGACCAGGTGAGCCTTGTGTAATCATCCACCATAGTCATGGAATACAGGGCCCCACCATCTCCCTTCACCTTCATGGGCCCCACAAGATCCACATGCACGAGCTCCACCGGGTCACTTGACTGCCCCACCGTCGAATGGAAGGGAAATCGTGAGAACTTGCTGGTCAAGCAAGTCTCACAAGAGCCCACCTCCTTGGGCTCCCCCTTTATCCTCAGCCCCTTGACTCTTTCCTCCTTAAACAGCTGCTGTAACTGAGGTAGCGCCACGTGGCCAAAACGACGGTGTGCGGTGAGCCAATCCGTCTCACCCGTGCTAGGACTTACACTTGGTAGTGCACCCCCCCCCATGCACAAGCAGCCCACCATCACTGCCATCACCACCTCCTCCATTGGTTACGTGGCTTGCATGCCCTCCTCTTACAGCTTCAGCAGCCAAGCGTGCAGCCGCCTCCTTCCATGGCAGCACCGGTATCTCCCACATAGACTGGTGCATTTCCTTGCCGCCTCGGAGGTCCCACAACACGCGCCCATCCAGAGTTGCCTTGAACACCTTTGTGCCCATCATCTCCATCTTCATCCCTGCCTCACTCAATGCCTTGGTAGAGAGAGAAGGTTGGCACATAGTCCAGGGACAAGAAGAACACGCTTCAGCCCCACAAGCCTCCCATCCGCACCCATAAACATGGCTCTCCCCTCGCCACGCACGGGTACAACTTGGCCGGTGGCTGAAACAACGGTGGCTGCCTTTGATGGTCTGACTTCATCCAGCAGATCCTCTCGGTTGGTCATGGTCATGAAGGCTCCTGTGTCGATGACCCAATGGGAGGAACGGTGAAGAGCAACCTTGCTGGCCGGTACAACCATGTCCTCGGAGCATGCCTCTACTACATGGTAGAACATGCCGCCATGTCCGCCGGCACCTCCATCGCCCTCCTCACTGCCCATGCCTTCTCCCATAGCTCCATGAACACCCTTAGAGCCTTCAATTGATGGCTGACCAGGCCTCCAACCGTCAGGTAGCTTGCGGCACTTAAACCATGGGTGACCTTCCACATGGCAATACCAACACTTGCCGCCACACCGCTTGCCTCCCTTGTTGCTACGCTTCCCTCCCGAATACTGCTCCCCTCCAGAGCCTTCCTTGGCCTTTCCTTTCTTGCTGCCACGTCCCTTGAACCCTTTCATGCCGTAGGCAGAGCCTCCACCTTCACCGGCAGCAGCAGCTCCTTCCTCCGAAACTCCTCTTGAAGGACTTGAGCACGGATCCACTCAAGGGACCATGAGTCCTTCATGCCATTGAGGTTGACCACCAAGGGGCCCCACGACTCCGGCAGCAGGGAGAGAGCCTTGTAGCACTTGATCTTCTCAGGGTAGTTCACACCAGCAGCTGAGAGCTTCGCATAGAGGTCCCGGAGTTGATCGAACGCTCCTTGCACGGCATCACCCTCGTTGATCTTCACCGCATGGAGTTGTCGTTCGAGCACCACCACCATCGCTTCGCTGCTGGGGGCATGGACATCCTTCAATATTTTCCATGCCTTGGGACCACACTGGATATCCTTGATGAGATGCTTGATATGGTGCAGCTGGTTGGATGAGAGACATTGAGAGAGAAGGAAGAATCCATCCTTGGATCGGCGATCCCATTCCTTGGTCGCTCCTTCGCTCGCAGGCCTCTTCAATTCTCCATCCATCACTTCAAGCAGCCCGTAATGGTTAAATAGGAGCTCCATCCTGAAGCTCCATGATGTCCAATCCTCCCCAGAGAACTTCTCTAGGTTGAATGCCTTCACATCATCCTTGGCAGGTGTTGAAACGGATGCTATTGGTGAAGATCCGCCAGCAACGCCTCTTCCTGCTTCCCCAGCGCCTGTCACGCCACCACTGCCACTAGGACCAGCTGGAGCAGAACCTTCATCCTCCATATTGACCCAGGAACAGAGAAGAACCGCTCTGATACCACTTGTTATAGTCTAGAGTCCACTTAGGGGTCGCGGATGCCCTTGAAACCGCCTAAGCAGAATCTGATGACTTCGAACCGCCTCTGTTCAAAACGCCGTCACGATCAGCTCCGATAACATACGAGGCTGAAACTTGGTGAAACTTTAGCTTCAGGTGTCTGCTTTCCAACGGTATATTGCTTGATTTCATCAGAGGTGTATGCGTTACGCAGTGAAAAAAAACGTAAGCTTCGGCTGAAAACGTGTAGTTTCATTGATGCAAGGAAGAGGTAAGTACAACATTGCCTAGGGGACTCTTAAGGGGTTGGGACCATCCTGGGAACTCAGAGAAGGTTGAGTCCTAGGGGAGAAAGGCTAGAGAAGGATGGGAAACGTCCTAGCTATGTTATCTAACTTTATAAATAAGGGTCGGTGGACATCTAGTCTTCCCATCCCCTTCCTCCAATCAGTTACGACTGCGGATGTTTACATTATGATGTATTGCATCCTTAAAAAAAAAAAAAGTTTGTGTGTAAGTGTGATACCTGAGCATATATTGGTTATGAGATTGTTTGTGATAGCATTCAATGTGAAAATATGATACGCTAACTGGGCATGTCTTTGTTTTAGTGATTGTAAGCGATAGAGAGGCCGCTGTTACGGAACGAAAGCACAGTTCTTGGTGATCTGGCTTAGAGGGTTATGATTGGGGGACTTGTGATCATTCTTCAGATGGGCCTAGATCCCTGATTCGGGGACCTGTGTACCTTCCTCTGTCACCATGCCGCCCGTCCGTGGCGCTGTAGGCTCGCCGACCTCACCGCCAGGAGTGCAGACAGCTTCGTGGACTCGACGAATTGCCAGAATGCCTTTTTGGGGGATCCTTGTTCTTGTTATCGTTGCTGCGACTGGGTCGGACGCGACCAAGCCGAAGCCGATCAGCATTTCGCTGCGCGCCAAGTGGGAGGGAACACCACTCCTTCTAGAGGCAGGGTGAGTCGCCTTGGTGATGGCAGATCTCTTAGTTTTCGAAGCTTTCCGCCTACGCGCGATTTCAACAGCACACCGCACTCGGTGGAGTGGCATGCAAGAATCATTATTGCGAGATGCGTGATCCAAGGGGGGGTGCTTGGTGGAACCCGCGCTACTGCAAATCGTCTGCGGTCGCTCGCCAGGCTTACGATGCCTAACTGCCCTGAGTTTTTCAAAAAACGGCGACGCTGCTTGCTTGGTGTATGCAACCTCGTTGCCAAATTGGCCCACTTCGGCTCGCTACATCGCCGTTGTCAATATGGTTTTTTCCTCGCCATGGCTTGCTGATCATTGCCGAAGTGTCTACCTTATTGCTGGAATCGCTGGCCCGTTGCTAGATTTCCTGAGTGATGAAACATTTGCTCTCTCTCATCCATTGTAGTTTGCTGAATTTATGCCCATACATTCCCTCCTGACCCTCCCCCTCTCTCCCCCTGTCCCCCTGCATCGAGCCATCGGCAGCGAGTTCTTAGCGCGCGAGGACGCGGCTCTCTACTGGAAGTTCCTCGCCGCGTGGCCGCACGCGTCGCCCGATGCCAACTCCTCCGCGCGCCCCGCTTCCGCCCCGCCGCGCCCGTCTGACGGCGACTGCCTGGACACGCTGCTGCGCGTCGCCTCGTCGTTCCTCGCGGCCCCCCTGGCGCCGCTGCTGCGCCTGGCGCTCGCCATGCGCTCGCTCTCGCCCGCGCTGCTCCTGCACCGCCAGCTCGCGCGCCTCTCGCTCTCGCAGGCGGGGCTGCTGGGCCCACACAGCGCGCAGGGAGGAGCTGCGGAAGGGGAACAAGCGGGGTGGGGCGCAGGGGGGGGCGATGGGGGCGAGCGCTGGAGGGTGAGTGAGAACCCAGCGGCGCCCAAGGGTCACTGCTGCTGGGTGGAGCTGAAGGGGAAGGTGCTGCTGGGGGAGGCGGAAGTGGCAGCGGCACTGGCATCAGTGCAGGCGGAGGGAAGGTAAGGGTGCCTGCTGGGCGGGACTGGCTTCTTCCTTGTGTCTGCGATGGTTGACCCTTCACCTCGCTCTCCTTCCTCACTCGCACATCCCTCCCCTTCACAATCAATGCATGCATCCGTCCTTCCCATCCCAATCTCAGCATCCCTCGCATGTATGCATTCTGCTACCATCAGCTCTCACTCCGTGTCTTATCAGCATCCCCATCAGTCTGACCCCCCTCACCTCATCTCCCTCAACTGCACCCCCCCCCCCCCCCTCTATCCTGCATCGCACTGCCCTCTCCCCATCCCGTTGTGCCAGCGCCGCTGCGGCCGCGCCAGCAGCAGAGCACGGGGCGACGGTGCATGCCTTCGACCATGTCTACCCCTCCTCCTCCGCCGCCGCTGCCTCGCACCACGCGCCTCCCCCCGCCTTCCTCTATGCCAGCCCTGGCTCTGCCTGCTTCGCCGCCCTGCTGCCCCTCCTCTCCGCTGCTGCAGACCAGGTAACGCTGCTGCTTGTGCTTCTCGTGTTTTGCTCTTTCAGTCCTTCTAGCATTGTCGTGTCTGTTCGCCCCTGGCGTGTTTCTCCCATTCCCTCCTGCTTCCCTTGCCTTCTTCTTTCATCCCGACCCCTTTCATTCATCACTCTTCCCCTCTGAATCTCACCCTTCTCTGGGCGGCAGGGCGCCATCCGCCTGGTGCTGCGGCCGGTGCTGCCAGCGGGCTGTGAGCAGCACGTGGGGCGCTGTGCGGCGGTGGGGGCGGGCGGGCGGGTGAGTCTGGGCGGGTACGGAGTGGAGCTGGCGCTGAAGAACATGGAGTACAAGGCGCTCGACGACTCCCAACTCACCAAAGGTCCGCCCCGCCCCGCCCCCTCCCCCCATTCCCACCACTGCTGTTCGGAAGACGGGGCAGGCAGCTTTGTGCACGGCATCATAACCCTGCAATGACTCTCACTCTACACTCTGTGCCTCTACCAACGGCTGTCTCTTTGGGACGATCGCCGTGAATATTCACGTTTCATTACCTGCATCCTGCGTGTCCATGTGGCGCTATGTGCGTTGCGTCCGATGTGTGCCGCATGACCATGTGTGTGTGTGCCACATGAGTGACCATATGTGTGGCATGGCATGGCCATGTGTATGTGGTGTGGATGGTCATGTGTGTGGCACACAGACAGTGCAGGGCAGGCAGCAGCAGATGGGTCAGCGGATGACTTGGCACAGCCAGTGAAGGGCTTTCTCTTTGACACCCTTGTGGTCAGTCCACGGCTGCTCTTCTCACGCACTCGCATGCTTCGCATGCTTCTTCCCAGTGATTTCTCGGGGGGAACTTGTTAGTGGCATTCTCTTTGCTTCGCCCTCATGCGTTTTGTTTCGTCTGTGCAAACTTGCCCCGGCTCCTCTTGCCTCTGCCCCAGCAACGGTATCCCGAGCAGACGGGAGAGCTGCTGACGTTTCGCGACCAGCTGCTGGCAGCAGAGGAGATCCGAGACGAGTACAACGTGTGGGAGCTCAAAGGTACAACGTGTGGGAGCTCAAAGGTACAACGTGTGGGAGAAAAAAAGTGTGCAGTGCAATTGTACGGGTTCTCCATAGTACCAAGTTTAGTTAGTAAGTGTGTGTAGACCAGCCCAACCAGAGAGGAGTGATAGCTAGCTTGCAAGGCGTTGGTTGGTGTGGCAGCCTCCATATGTATGTGCTGTGCTGACACATGTATCCTCCCGCTCACACTGCCCCCCAGACCTGGGCATTCAGGCCACTCAGCGCATTGTGGGGGGAGCAGAGCCGCTGCGGCTGATGCAGGACATCAACCAGAACTTCCCCAAAATCATGGCCTCCCTCGCCAAGACCAAGGCACGCGCTGCTCCCTCACCATTCCCTCCTTGTGCTGCTGGCAAAGGTCTCCAATATGTTGTGTTCATGTGTATGCTGTAGATGTACCTGGTATGGTATGTGGTGCGTGCATGCATGCATATGGAACGAGCACTGTTCATGCAATACTCTGCTTGCTCCTTCCCTCCCCATCGCCCCTCCCTTTGATTTCTTCCTTTTGCCTTGCTTTCCACCAACCCCTTGGCGCCAACCTCCTGCCTCTGCTCGCCCGTGTGTGTGCCCTCGTGCCATGAGTGAACGGGAGCAGGTGGACAGCGGGGTGGAGGAGGCGGTGCAGGAGATGCATGGCATGGTGCAGGCGGGGCGCACCATCGTGGCGCTCAACAGCATCGCATTCAACCTCGCCACACTTGACATCTTCACGTACAGACCCACACTCCTCCCGCCACTCACTAGCACACACCACTCAGTACCTCACACCACCCCTGCCTGTGCCGGTCATGTGAGCATCTCTATTCCTGCAGCAGCTCTCATATATTCATCTCTCGCTCCCACTCGCCTGTTCTCTCCCCCTCCGCGCACACCAGTCTGTTGGAAGCCGTGCAGGCCGAGCTGTCGCTTGGAGCACAGCTGCTCTCTCTCAAGGTGAGCCGTCCTTTTTCTCACTGCTTGCTGTGTCAGCTGTACGCAGCTGCACTGGCCATTTCTCGCTGGCCTCGCCCTGCCTCCCCCCCACCATCTACGAGTCTTCTCCCCAGGTTTCTACTCTCGCCTACCATCACCTCCCCCCCGCACTCTCTCATCTCCCATGCGTCCCTCACGCCCTCTCTCCCCATGCACCCCCACGCCGCCCACAGCTGCCAGCGCCAGTGGTGCGGCAGCTGCTGCATCTGCCACCAGCATCAGCAGCGAGGGAGGAGGGGGGGTCGCTGCGGCTGGACTTCCGGTCGCCATGGCATGTGCACTTCTTCAACGACCTTGAGAGAGACCGCGAGTACCGCGGCTGGTCGCCCAACATGCATGAGGTGAGTTCTGAGGCGCCTCAAATAACGCGGCTGGACTTCCGGTCGCCATGGCACGTGCACTTCTTTAACAACCTTGAGAGGGATCGCGAGTACAGAGGCTGGTCGCCCAACATGCATGAGGTGCGCTGGGCGTGCACTCACTGCATGCTGCTACACACTGCATGCTGCTACACACTGCATGCTGCTACACACTGCATGCTGCTACACACTGCATGCTGCTACACACTGCATGCTGCTACACACTGCATGCTGCTACACACTGCATGCTGCTACACACTGCATGCTGCTACACACTGCATGCTGCTACACACTGCATGCTGCTACACACTGCATGCTGCTACACACTGCATGCTGCTGCACTGCACACCCCTCCTCATCATCTTGACAGCCCCGCTAGGCTGTTGTATCCACTAGCTTCACCTTTTCCTTGTTCCTCCATTTGCTTTTCTCACATGTGTACTATTCTGTGCTCAACTCAAGCATGCAACGCTTTTGAACTGCCACATTGCTTTACACGTTTGTGTGTGTTCATGTGCATGTGTGTGTGCATGTGTGTGTGCATGTGGCAGCTGCTGATGCCCATGTATCCAGGGCAGTTCCGTCCCATCCGCAAGAACATCTTCCATGCTGTCTTCGTGCTCGACCCCATGCACCCCTCCATGCCCAAGGTGGGTCATGCCATGCACCCCTCCATGCCCAAGGTGGGTCATGCCATGCACCCGTTTTTAAGTGCCTCCTTTCATATACCCCCAACCTTTCATATACCCCCAACCTTTCATATACCCCCAACCTTTCATATACCCCCAACCTTTCCGCTTGCATTGTCCTGCTCTCTGCTCGGCTGGTTGATATCACCGTCTGTCCCCACCACTCTCCAACCTCCTCTCTACCCGTCGCTCCTTCCCCCTTTCTCCCCCCCTTCCCCCCACCAGGCAGTGGCGCACATCCACAAGTTGCATCGGGGCAGCATGCCCCTCCGCATGGGGCTCATCCTCGCCTCCTCTGCGCGCCTCCTCTCCCTCAACGACCCCTCCGCCCCTCCGCCCCACCATGACCTGTCGGAACTTGTGGGTGGCCCTGCTGCCCTCATCCCTTTCACACTCCTGGCTCTCCTGTCTTCGCCCCTCCCTTTTCCGTCTCCCCTTCTCCGTCTCCCTCTCTCCCGCAGCTTCTGCTGCTCAGCCCCTCAGTCCCTTTGCCGTTTACACCTCCCTTCCTCCTTGCCCACCTGTTTGCTTATGTCAGGCTGCTTGTTCCTACTAGTTCGCCGTCCACATCCTTCCTCTGTGTGATGTGTGCCCGATCCCACCCATCGCATGCCCCCACCCCATGCACGCATCCATGCACAACGTGCAGGCCATGGCTCTCTTCCTGCACATCAAGGAGTCAGTTGGCGTCCGCCCCGCCTTCGACTTCCTCCTCTCGGTCAGCTCACTTGCCCGCCCTCCCCCACGCGTGCACGCTTCCTCGTCGCTACTTTGCCGTTGCCCCTCCCCTCCTTTCCCTCCTTTACTCGCTTGCTTCTGCATCCCTCCTTCGTTTCTGTCCGTCACTGGCCCTCACTTGCCTCACGTCCTTGCTTGCCTGCACTGCCTTCTCTCGCCTCTTCCCCCTCACCCGCGCATCGCCCTCCCCCCTTTGGACGCCTTTCCATCAGATGTGGGGAGGCAGTGCGTCGGACGAGTCAGTGGATGACTACGAGGACGCCATGGTCACGCTGCCGCTCCCGCAGTACACGCCGCCCGACCAGCCCACCATGGAGGCCGCCTTCCTCCACACGCTCAGGTGGGCGTCGGAGAGAGGTGTGGTGTGGTGTAGTGTAGTGCGATGGGATGGGATGGGATGCATGTAATGGGTAGAGGAGCATTATAATCACACTGATTCTTCCTGCGTTGCATGGGCCTTGTGGTGCGCCCTCATCCGCATCACCCACATCGCTCCATCTCTCTCCTCCAAACCCTTTAGCTCATGGCCCTCCACGCTTCCACTTCTCGTCTTCTCCCCGTAATCTCCATCTATGCGCCCACCAGTGCGGCAGCAGCAGCGTCGCAGGGGAGATCGCTGGGCAGTGATGACGCCAGGAGGGCTGTGCTGGCATCAGTGCTGGCAGGAAGGCAGCGGGTGGAGGGGGAACAGGTGGAGAGTGAGGAGGGCGGAGGGGAGCAGGGGGGAGCAGGGGGGGGAGGGGCGGCGGCAGCAGTGTGGGCGCAGGTGGTGGGCAGCTCTCGCTTTGTGTCGGGGCTGGGCCTCGCAGACGCCATGCCATGCCTGCTCTTCAATGGTGTCTTCTACCCCTCACCCAAGGTTGGCCCACTGCCCCTGCTGCTGCCAACATTGCTGTTCTGCACCTCTCCCCGTCCTGCTGTGCCCTCTTTGAGCAACTTCTTCTGAGAGCGCCTCAAGCGTGATGCACCACCATCAGTCCCACCAATTCTCGCTCTTTCTCTTGCTCTCCCTCCCCCTCGTCACCGCACTGCACCGCACGGCATGGCAGGTGCCAGGGGGAGCACTGGAGGCGATGCAGGAGGAGATGGAGGCGGTGCAGAGGGCGGTGTACTACCAGCAGCTCAGAGGCTCCTCTGACGTCCTCGCCTTCTTCCTCTCCTCCGCTGCCAAGCGCTTCAACCCCGAGGCCAGTGCCGCCCGCTCGCTCCCTCACCCTCCCTTGCACGGCTCCCTCACCCTCCCTTGCCGGCCACATGCCGCCTGCTACCTACTGCATCTAGAACCCATGCCACCTGTTTCCCCCTCCTGAAGCAAGGTCTTATTCTTTCTCTCTCTGCCATGCACTCGTCTTCCTCCCCCCCTTCACCCACAGGTGGCCCTACCAGCGGGCAAGACAGCGCCGTACGTGTCGCTGGCGCCCCCCATGGCTGCCGACAACCCTACCCTCGCCCGCCTCTCCTTCCTGCACTCGCCTGGCAGTGCGTCCCCCTCTCCTCGCCCCTCCCTCCTCGCCGCTGCCACTGAAGCTTTGACACTGCCCTTTATGGGCCTTTGCTTGCCCTGCCTCACTTCATGCGCCATCATTTCGTACCTGCCCGTCATTGCCCCCACTTCCTGTCTGTATTGCCGCATGTGTGTCCGCCCTTTCCTTTGTGTCTTGTGTTAAAAGTATATGTATAGCATGCTAAGTGTTAAGGGGTTGGGACTACACCCAACTTTGGGTGTAGTCTTGCATTGTGGGGTGCCAATCCAACCCAATTGTGGTGGAGCCCCCAAATGCAACCCACTTGGCCTCAGGTTGCCTCACTTCCCAAAAGTGAGGCCAACCCAACCCAAGTGGGCCTGAGGTCACCTCACTTCCCACAAAGTGTGGTCAACCCAACCCACTTGACCTAAGGTTGCCTCACTTCGCCAACCCAACCTATGGTCAACCCAACCTTTCCCCTCCAAGCTTCTCATCCAACCTATGTATGCTTGTTCCTCCTCTTATCCAAGTAATCATTCAGTTTACAACTTTCACATTGTGTCCCTGCTGTTGTGCGTGTGCCTCATGGTGAGCAGCGGAGGACGAGGTGAAGCCCTTCTCTCACCTGCTCGCGCTGGACCTCTCATCGCACCAAGGGGTCGACCTGCTGCTGCAAGCCGTGCTGCACCTGGTAATATCGCACTGCACCAGGAATGATGTACAGCATGCCATTGTGTGTGAGCAGTCGTCTATCACTCCTGGCCGTGCTCATGCCGTGCACCTGCCCTCATGCCGTGCACCTGCCCTCATGCCGTGCACCTGCCCTCATGCCGTGCACCTGCCCTCATGCCGTGCACCTGCCCTCATGCCGTGCACCTGCCCTCATGCCGTGCACCTGCCCTCATGCCGTGCACCTGCCCTCATGCCGTGCACCTGCCCTCATGCCGTGCACCTGCCCTCATGCCGTGCACCTGCCCTCATGCCGTGCACCTGCCCTCATGCCGTGCACCTGCCCTCATGCCGTGCACCTGCCCTCATGCCGTGCACCTGCCCTCATGGCCGCCTCATGCCGTGCACCTGCCCTCATGCCGTGCACCTGCCCTCATGCCGTGCACCTGCCCTCATGCCGTGCACCTGCCCTCATGCCGTGCACCTGCCCTCATGCCGTGCACCTGCCCTCATGCCGTGCACCTGCCCTCATGCCGTGCACCTGCCCTCATGCCGTGCACCTGCCCTCATGCCGTGCACCTGCCCTCATGCCGTGCACCTGCCCTCATGCCGTGCACCTGCCCTCATGCCGTGCACCTGCCCTCATGCCGTGCACCTGCCCTCATGCCGTGCACCTGCCCTCATGCCGTGCACCTGCCCTCATGCCGTGCACCTGCCCTCATGCCGTGCACCTGCCCTCATGCCGTGCACCTGCCCTCATGCCGTGCACCTGCCCTCATGCCGTGCACCTGCCCTCATGCCGTGCACCTGCCCTCATGCCGTGCACCTGCCCTCATGCCGTGCACCTGCCCTCATGCCGTGCACCTGCCCTCATGCCGTGCACCTGCCCTCATGCCGTGCACCTGCCCTCATGCCGTGCACCTGCCCTCATGCCGTGCACCTGCCCTCATGCCGTGCACCTGCCCTCATGCCGTGCACCTGCCCTCATGCCGTGCACCTGCCCTCATGCCGTGCACCTGCCCTCATGCCGTGCACCTGCCCTCATGCCGTGCACCTGCCCTCATGCCGTGCACCTGCCCTCATGCCGTGCACCTGCCCTCATGCCGTGCACCTGCCCTCATGCCGTGCACCTGCCCTCATGCCGTGCACCTGCCCTCATGCCGTGCACCTGCCCTCATGCCGTGCACCTGCCCTCATGCCGTGCACCTGCCGTGCACCTGCCTCATGCCGTGCACCTGCCCTCATGCCGTGCACCTGCCCTCATGCCGTGCACCTGCCCTCATGCCGTGCACCTGCCCTCATGCCGTGCACCTGCCCTCATGCCGTGCACCTGCCCTCATGCCTACCATCCGTCCATCTTCCCGCTACTGCCCTCCCACCCTTCCCCGTGCAATCACGGCAGGAGAGCGGGGAGGGCACGCATGCCCGAGTGGCCGTTCTGCACAACCCCCTGCATGCCCCCGCCAACGATGATGCGCGCCTGCCACCTCTCGCATGGCGCCACCTCGTGCCGCGCCTCATCATGGCAGCCGTCCAGATGCCCAGGTCACACGCCTGCTGCACCCTGCTTCAATAAAGCAACCAGTGCATGTTGAGACACTGCTGTCTTGGCAGCTTCATGTCCTGGCAGCTTCATGTCCTGGCAGCTTCATGTCCTGGCTCTTATGCATTCACGTCCTTGCTGTTATTCGCCTCCCTCTAACCCCACCCTTTCCTCCCCCCTATTCCACCGGCTGCCCATTTCACCTCCTGTTCTCCCTCCTCCGTGCCCCTCTCCCCCAACATGCCCAATGCCCCACCAGCCGCCGCAGCAAGCTCCCAGCCTTCCTGCATCGCCTGCTGCAGCTGCCACTGCTCAGGGCCGTGGTCTCGCGGACACACACAGGCGTCGAGGAGGAGGGGTGGGCGGGCAAGGGGGAGGTGAACAGCGAGCAGGAGGGACAGGAGCTGCTGGCGTCAGCATGGAGCGTTGCTGACGAGGCAGGGCTGAACAGGGCCGAGTTGGAGCGCGCTGTGACGGGCGCTGGTGCTGCAGAGGCTGCTGCTGCGCACATGGCCCAGGTGAGGCCGTGCTGGGGGCAGACAGGTGGAGTTTTCCATTCCTCTGCGATGTTCAAATCGTTTGCAGCAGCGGCGCCAGTACTCATCTCATCGCTTTCGTGTGCCTTGCGTACGGACTGGCTCGTTCTGTGTCCCTTGGCATCCCCTCTGCTTGGCAGGATCGACTTTTTGTGAAGCAGCACTGTGACGGCAGTCCAGGCAGCAGTGTCATCATCACCAATGGCAGGGTGCGTGCACCCCGCTCTTTCCTCCCGTATTCCACCATTCTTTCATTCCTTCTCTTACCTCCTCCCTTGCCATTTCTCTCGCGTTCACTTATGCACACCTCACTCGCTCTCACTCCATGCATGTCCATCCCAAACACCTTGCATGGCCCCACCAACTCTGCATGTCTCCACCTTCCTCCTTGCCTACGCACCATGAAGCACCTCTCCTTTCGCTCTCTCCCTCCCTCCCTATCTGCCTCCCTCCGCCCCCCCTCACCCCACCCCACCAGCTGCTGGCACCGCAGCACCGCTTTGTGGCGGCGGACTTCGCCTTGCTGGAGGAAGTGGAGTCAAAGCGGGTCAAGGCAGCGCTCTCCGTGCTGCAGGACCTGCCCTCCTGGCCTCACCTCCCGCCCGACCTCCCTCTCAGGTGCGAGCGGGACTGTGGCGCGGGCACAGTAGGGCGTGTGAGGGCTAGTTGCATGCTCGTTGTTGCAGATTTCTTTGACGCCCTTTGGTGTGCAATGCGCATTGCGTGGCACTGGCTGCTGAGACTCCAAGTGTGGTCATGCTCACATGCATTCATTATAGACTTTGGATGGCCATTTCGTGTTGAACATACTTGTTACCTACACATTGCCTTATGCCCCGCCATCCAACTCATGCACCTCCCACCCACCCACCCACCCCACCCGTCCGTGCTGCAGTGATCATGTGTCGGGCATGGCGATGGTGGTGGCATCAGCACTGTCATCAGCGGAGAGGGCCAGCAGTGACTACGTGCAGTTCGCCCGCCTCACTGCCAGCCCCAGGTGCTCCTCTCAGTGCTCGTGTCATCCTGGGCCAGCAGCATCGCTATACCATCACCCGCGTCTCCACGCTCGATAAGCACTTGGTTCCTCACTGCTTGCACCTCTTGCCCGCTTCCAACCCACTCCTCAAACTCTCTCTTTCCCGTCTCTCCCCCTGCCAACCGCCCCTTTCCTTTGTTACCTTGGCAGCATCGGCATCATCCACAGCAACGAGTCGGCACTGCTGCACATCGATGGGGTGATAGACCCGCTCAGTGCGGAGGCACAGCAGGTCACGCCACTGCTGCTGCTGCTGCACGAGTGGTTCAACCCCTCCCTGCGCGTCTTCATGAACCCCCTCGTGCGTGCCCTGCCTGCCCCCCCGCCTCCGCCTGCATGTCATGACTTGGTGCCGTGTGCTGTGCTGCCCATGGTTTTTCTCCCATACTGTTGCAGCATTGATGTCCAAACGCAGAACTCCTGTGTGCGTCCACCACTCCAAATCCGTTTTGTTGCCCCCATCCCGTCTCCCCTCTCCTCACACGCCCTGCATGTCTGCCAGTCGTCCATGTCCGAGTTCCCTCTCAAGAACTTCTACCGATACGCCGCTCCCCACAAGGTACGCTCCCTCGCCCCTCCTCGCCCTCCCTGCTGCCCGTTCGTCTTGTTGCCTTCTCCATGCCTCCATGCTCTCGTGCTCTCCTCCCCCACCACTTCTTGAATCCCATCCTGCCACTCAATACATTTCGTGCTCCTCCTCAGTGCCAGTTCTTCCACAAATTATCTTCTGCCATTTCCGCCAGTCTTTCTCATAAATATCACACTTGTCCGTTTCACGGTTTCCCCCTCTCCCACATCCATCCCAACCACCTCCCTCCTCAACCCCCACCAGGAGCTGGCAGATGCATCGGGAGTGCTGGCGGCGGGGGCGGAGGTGGAGTTCCTGAACATGCCTCTCACGCGCACGCTCACTCTCAACCTCAAAGTGCCCGAGCCCTGGCTCGTGGAGCCGGCTGTAGCGGAGTGAGTGAGGCTGGTGGGGCCGGCTGTAGCAAAGTGAGAGAGGGTAGAATGTGGCTTAGTGGGAAGTGACTGAGCCCTTTTACACCATATCGTGCTTTTGTGCTTACCCAGCTCACACGTCCCAACCCAATCACCTTAACGCCTTCATTCTCCATTCTCCATTCTCCCTCTCACCCCCGGCCCCACCCTCCCACATCCCTTTTGTGCAGCCACGATTTGGACAATCTGGTGTTGGAGAAGGTGGCGGACCCCAGCGTTGTTGCTGTCTTTGAGCTCGAGGCGCTCATGATCACTGGTGGGTGCCTGCCTGCACATGGCTGCTGCTGGGTGCTCGTGGGGTGGTTGTGGGTGGAATGTGTGGACACACTTTCTGCACACTAGTGTGACGTTTTGGCCTAGTCTTTCTTTTCTCTTGTTACAGTGGCCCCACTACTCTCTGCTCATACCTGTTTGCCCTCGCAACTCTCCCTCCCTCTCTCCACCACTCCACTGGCCCCACACCACCCACCAGGGCACTGCTACGAGGACTCAGACATGCAGGAGCCGCCACGAGGCATGCAGCTCGTGCTCGGCACGCCCCCGCCCATCCCCTCCGCGCTCCTCAACCACTCCTCTGCCACCGCCACCGCCGCCGCCACCACCAACAGCGGGGCAGCAGGCCGGCCACAAGGCCTGGTGGTATCATCAGCGTTGGAGGACACGATAGTGATGGCCAACCTGGGCTACTTCCAGCTCAAGGCCGCGCCCGGCCTCTGGCTGCTGCAGCTCGCCCCCGGCCGCTCCCAGACCCTCTACCAGCTCGCAGGGGAGGGGGCGTTGGGGGGCGGTGGCAGTGGTGCAGAGGCAGGGGAGGGGGGTGGGGATGAGGGGATGGGGGCGGTGGGGGCGGTGGGGCGGGTGGCTATGGACGTGGCGGTGATGGACCTGCGTGGCAAGGTGGTGCAGCTGAGAGTGGTGAAGCGGGCGGGCATGGAGGGCGAGAAGATGCTGGATGGCACAGGGGGGGAGGATGGGGACGAGGAGCAGCAGGAGGAGCCAGCAGCGGCGGTGAGGCCTCTCTGCTCTTCTCCGAGCTGCTCGCCCCTGTGTTGAACACCCTTCGTGTCTAACTTGCAACCTCTTCTCGCTGCTCACTGCCTCACTGTGTCTCTCCCCTGCCTCACACGTGCCGTCCGTCATCCCCCCATCCCTCGCAGGCATCTCTCTTCGGGTCCTTCTTCCAGAAGCTCACGGGCAAGGTGGGGTGGACACCAGGGTGGGGAAAGAGTTGGCAAAGGCAGGGTGAAGGGAGGATAGAGTGGAGAGTGGACTGTAGGTGCCAACAGGGGCAGGCAGCAACCACAGTGGGCATGGGGAGGGTTGGGCCGTGGCTGTTGTGAAGCAGCGCCGTGGAGTCGTGCTATGTTGCATGCCACCACTCCTGCATCCTCCCTTCACCCTTATCTGTGCACCCTTGCCTCTCCCTGCCGCACTGCCCCTCCCCGCACCGCTCATGCACCTGTGTGGGTCAGAAGCCTGCAGCACCCAGCAAGGGCGAGGCGGCGGGCGGCAACAGCACCATCAACATCTTCTCCATCGCCAGCGGCCACCTGTGCGTCGCCTCTTGCTCCTCATGCCAATTGCCCATCGTAGCATTGCCTCCCAGTGTCCACTGTTCTCTGTCCCGTTCCTTGTACTCTTGGTGCTGCATCATCCTGAGGTGCATACCACATCCTTCTCATTCCACCATTTCCACTTCTCAAAACCTCCCACCCCTTCCCACCCTGTGGCGTGCATGCATGGGCAGGTACGAGCGGTTCACGCGCATCATGATTCTCTCTGTGCTCAAGAACACGCGCCGCCCGGTCAAGTTCTGGTTCATCAAGAACTACCTCTCGCCCTCCTTCAAGGTGAACTACCTCTCGCCCTCCTTCAAGGTGAACTACCTCTCGCCCTCCTTCAAGGTGAACTACCTCTCGCCCTCCTTCAAGGTGAACTACCTCTCGCCCTCCTTCAAGGTGAACTACCTCTCGCCCTCCTTCAAGGTGAACTACCTCTCGCCCTCCTTCAAGGTGAATTACCTCTCGCCCTCCTTCCAGGTGAACTACCTCTCGCCCTCCTTCAAGGTGAATTACCTCTCGCCCTCCTTCAAGGTGAACTACCTCTCGCCCTCCTTCAAGGTGAATTACCTCTCGCCCTCCTTCAAGGTGAACTACCTCTCGCCCTCCTTCAAGGTGAACTACCTCTCGCCCTCCTTCAAGGTGAACTACCTCTCGCCCTCCTTCAAGGTGAACTACCTCTCGCCCTCCTTCAAGGTGAATTACCTCTCGCCCTCCTTCCAGGTGAACTACCTCTCGCCCTCCTTCAAGGTGAATTACCTCTCGCCCTCCTTCAAGGTGAACTACCTCTCGCCCTCCTTCAAGGTGAATTACCTCTCGCCCTCCTTCAAGGTGAACTACCTCTCGCCCTCCTTCAAGGTGAATTACCTCTCGCCCTCCTTCAAGGTGAACTACCTCTCGCCCTCCTTCAAGGTGAATTACCTCTCGCCCTCCTTCAAGGTGAACTACCTCTCGCCCTCCTTCAAGGTGAACTACCTCTCGCCCTCCTTCAAGGTGAATTACCTCTCGCCCTCCTTCAAGATGAACTACCTCTCGCCCTCCTTCAAGGTCAACCAAGCCTACCCTTCTTGTGGACTCCTCCCTGTTGTCGAAGCCACTTCTCTCCTGCCTTTGAAATGCAGGCCACTCTTATCACACATTTGCTCACTCATGCAGCCGTGCCTGCCCTCCTGTGTCCATGCCTCCATGCTTTCGTGCTCACACCTATGTCCCCTCTCCACCACCCTCTCCCCCCTGGCTCTCCTTCCTTCGCCCCTCTACAGGAGGTGATCCCGCACATGGCGCGCGAGTACGGGTTTGAGTACGGGCTGATCACGTACAAGTGGCCCTCGTGGCTGCACAAGCAGACGGAGAAGCAGCGCCTCATCTGGGCCTACAAGATCCTCTTCCTTGACGTCATCTTCCCCCTCTCCCTCCAAAAGGTCGCCCCTCTCTCTCGCTGCCACCTCCGCTGCCATCCCCCTCTGCTGCACGCCCTTTCACATCTGCAAGGATTGTTCCTCGCCCCACTGATGGGCTGCGTTGGGTTGTGTTGCTCACATATCACCTCCAGGATTCCATTCTCCACACGGGCTTGTGTCGTCCCTGCTTGCTTGCACCAAGCCTTGTCGTTCAAATACACACCTCTCCTGCATGCTGTGTTTCTCATCCCCTGTTCATCAAGCTTTGCAGTCTTCTTCCCCACCCATCCCCCCACCCCTCTCCCTCCCCAGGTGATATTCGTGGACGCCGATCAGGTGGTGCGGGAGGACATGGGGCGGCTGTACGACATGCCGCTGCACGGTCACCCGCTGGCCTACACGCCCATGTGCGACAACAACCGTGACATGGAGGGCTACAGGTTCTGGAAGCAGGTGGGGTCCGGGCTATGGGCTCTGAAACAAGCAGTAGAAAACAGGACGCATTCAGGATGGTATTTTATTATCCTGTACCACTCACTCAGAATCTATCGCTCCTGGCTTCCCTTGTTGCATGGGTGCAGGGCTTCTGGAGGGACCATTTGAGAGGAAAGCCGTACCACATTAGGTGAGGCAGTGAGGGAGCAGATGCAGCACAACACCACCCTACCACGCCTGTTTGAACCTGACCTCTTTCTCCCCACCTCTGCTGCTTTGCCATCTCTGCCTATGCACACTTACTCTTGTTACCTTACCCTCAAATTTCCCACCTTTCACCCACCACCCATCTAACCCGCCCACCCACGTGCGTGCGCGTGGCAGCGCCCTGTACGTGGTGGATCTGGTGCGCTTCAGGCGCATGGCAGCGGGCGACACGCTGAGAGTGATCTACGAGAGCCTCAGCAAGGACCCCAACTCCCTCGCCAACCTCGACCAGGTAAAGCCTCCCCCACCTCTCACCCGCACCAGCTGCCACCTCTCACCTGCACCCTGTACTGCCTCCTGCATTCCCCACTTTGACGTAACTCCCGCTCACCCCCTTTCCTCATCCTTCAACCGCCCCTTTCCCCCGCCCATCAGGACCTGCCCAACTACGCGCAGCACACGGTGCCGATCCTGTCGCTACCGCAGGAGTGGCTGTGGTGTGAGTCGTGGTGTGGCAACGCCACCAAGGCACGTGCCAAGACCATTGACCTCTGCAACAACCCCATGACCAAGGAACCCAAGCTGCAGGTCAGTAACTAACAACCCCCTTTTAAATATCATCTGCATTCTGCCTGTTCTCACTCTCTTCCTTCACCTCGAACCTGAATACACTTCCGCTTTTGTGTTCTCCTATGTCTGTGCGTGTGCGTGTGTGCATGGCAGGGGGCGCGGCGCATAGTGGCGGAGTGGGGGGCGCTGGACGAGGAGCAGCGGCGCTTCACAGAGAGAGTCACTCAAGGGGAGTTCGACGACCTCCCGCCCTCCGCGCCACGTGGCACGCTGCGATTCGCGGGCTTCCACTCCGCCCCTCGACCAGAGGAGGGGCCTGTGGCCGAGGCATTGGCAGAGGAAGGGGAGCAAGAAGTAGAGGAGATGGATGGAGTGAACGAGGGAGGACAGGAGAGAGAGGAGGGAGGGGAGGGAGGGGAGGAGGAGGCAGGGGATTGGACGGGGTATGAGGTGGACACAGCCTATGAGGACTTGGAGGGGTTGGAGGAGATTGCAGTGGAGGCTGTTGATGGGGTGGAGGAGGGCGAGGAGGGTGGGGAGGAGGAGGATGAGGAGGAGCTAGGGCATGAGGAGTTGTGAGAGCAAGGGCAGGGCAGGAGTGCAATAAGAGAGCACTCACTGACAAACTGCTGATTTGTTCTGTGCAATGCAAATGCTAGATTGTTTGCATTTTCTCTCAGTAATTTGACAGTTTAACATTGTGCCGGTGTAAGTGCCGGTAATGTCATACAAAACAAAACCTGGTAAGTGCCAAAAAAACCACTGCACAGTGGCCCATCTCCTGAGGATCAGTATTGAACCAGCACACCACTTGAGCTACAAGTCACAAGAACTGTACAGGAGAACACCAAGTGCTCTCTTCCACACCCGGTCCGACCCCAGCCCTCACATCAGCTGACACCCTCTTGCCCTGACTCCCCCCCGTGACCCCCCTGCTCCCCCTGCACCCCCACCGCCTGCCCTGGCGAAGGCAGCCCAGCAGCCTCCCCCATCGCCGGAGGGGCCGCAGGCAGGGAGGCGCGGAAGCGCAGGCGCACATAGTCAGCAAACCAGCGGCCCTCGGAGTCACAGAGCGTGGGGTGCAGGGCGAGGTGCACCTCATCATACACGGCGTTCTTGTCCGCCTCGCTCAGCCCGTGGAAGAAGCTCTGCGCGAATGCGTCCAGCCAGCTGGCCACGCCGTCCGGCAGCAGCGTGGGGCGCGCCACCACCTCCATGTGCTCCACCTCGAAGCCGTGCAGCTCCAGCAGCTGCCTGTTGTGGGGGGGAAATGATTGGGTGGGGGATAATGGTTGGGTGGGGAAAAGGAGGGTGTAAGAGTGGAGGGGAGTACCTCAGCGCCCTCCACCTCCATGTGCTCCACCTCGAGCCCGTGTGCCTCCAGCAGCTGCCTGCCGTGGGGGAAAACATGGCGGGCGGTTGAGGGAGAGGAGGCAGGGTGGGTAGAAGCCAGGGGGGACAATGAGCACAGGGAGACACAAAGCGCAGTGCCTCCCTTTTTATGCAACCCAGCCTGGCCCAACTGCAATTCCTCCTTTTCAAACAAACAATTACTCTTACTTGAACCTCTCCTTTCCCATAAAATTACAAACCTTGCTTCCTCGCCTCCCTCTACCCCAGGCCCTGTGGTGTGAGCAAGCGCACCTGTACTCCTCCTGCATGGGGAAGTACCAGGGCACCATGGCTTTTGAGGTGCCTCAAAAGACGCACCTGTATTCCTCCTGCGTGGGAAAGTACCAAGGCACCATGGCCGCAGCGTCTATTCCGCGTGACCGCAGCACCGCCACCAGCGCCGTCACCACCGACGCCACGTTGCCAAAGCCCCCCATCTCCGCCACAAACCTGGGGAGCGATGGGGGAAGGGAGGAGGGAAGAGAGGGGGGGGAAGGGTGAAGAAGGCAATGCAGGTGGACAATGTGAGTGGGGGGTTGGAGAGGAGTGGGGGGTGCCATGTTGCAGCAAAGATAGTAATGAGGGTGCTTGGAGAGAGGAGCAGGCAACAGAGTGGTGGTGCGGCCAAGGTGGCGCGGAAAGGGGTGGGGTGGGGTGGGGTGGGGTCTCACCTGCCGCCAGGCTTGAGGGCGGCGCGCACGTTGGCGACAACAAGGGAGGGGTCACGCTTCATCCAGTGCAGCGCTGCGTTGCTGAACACACAGTCAAATTCCGATGAAAACCTGGCAGCGGGGAGGAATGGGGGTTGGTCAAGGGGGTGGGTGAATGGGGGAGCGATGGGTGAATGTAAAGAACGGAAGTGTGGGTTCTTAAGGCAGTGCGGCAGCTCAAAGCAGTGAAACGATGTGCAGTGAGTGCAGCAGTGAGTGAGAGGAGGGCGCAATGGTAGACAGTTGAGAACCAAGTTGCCGCTGATGACAACTCACTGCCGCTGATGACAACTTACTGCCGCTGATGACAACTCACTGCCGCTGATGACAACTCACTGCCGCTGATGACAACTCACTGCCGCTGATGACAACTCACTGCCGCTGATGACAACTCACTGCCGCTGATGACAACTCACTGCCGCTGATGACAACTCACTGCCGCTGATGACAACTCACTGCCGCTGATGACAACTCACTGCAGCTGGCAGGCGTCAGCGAGAATGGCGTTGACTCCGTCACGGCGTGCCATCTCCACCATGTCAGGCGACGAATCCACGCCCACCACGTGGCACCCCAGCGCTGACAAGAACTTGGACAGCGTGCCCTCGCCACACCCCAGATCCAACACCCGCTCGCCTGGGGAGAGAGGATGTGGGGCGGGGGAGAGGAGGGGGGGGTGAGAGGAGGAAGAAGAGCAGAAGTGGGTTTGACAACACGTTGTAAAAGCAATTCCATCCCTTTCACCCTTTCCCTGCTTCATTCAACACGGGAAACACAACTTGCAGGCAAGAGGCGAGGCAGGTATACCTGGGAGCGGGGCGAGCAGGTCGACAACAGGCAGGCCCAGAGTGGGCACGAAGGAGAAGGACTTGCGATACGTGGAGGGGTTCCACCGCGTGCGCTGTGGGGAGGAAGGGGAGAGGAGTGGAAGATGGGAAGCGGAAAGGAGCAGGGAGGGAGGGTGAGAGAGAGGTTAACGGCATGGACTGGTTGCTGTGTGCCACACTGCATGCACAGGAACCAGTGCATTACGCACACACAGTGCCTTGCCACACCCGCAGCCCGCCCTCGCACGTTACTCCCATCCCCCCAACACGCGCACCTTCCTACTGGGCGCCACATCTTCATCGCTGTCATCGCCCTCCCCTGCCCGCCCTGCCAGCTGCTCCTCCTGCGCGTCCCCTGCTCGCACACGCACACATAAAGATGGGATGCAGACATGCGGTTGCTGTGTGCTTTGGCTTCTGTGTGTGCCTCGCTGCATTCACTGCCACGTGCAATGCGAGGACCGCTCAGCAGCGTGTGCCTCAAGCGGCTACACGATCTGTATGCACCAAGCCACGCATTATCCCCCCCAGCACCGCTACCCCACCCACTCACTGGAGCTGGCGGGTTGCTGCTGGATGGCGGCGCTGATGCGGCGCTTGAAACGCGACAGCCAGCCGTCCGACATCTTGAACTCGCCCGCCGCGATGCCCCGCTCTCCCGCCAGCTGCCGCGCCTTGTCCACTATAATGGAGTCCACTATATTGGGGCGCTGCGATATAATCTGTCAGGCACGCACGCACAAGCTGCACCTTGTAAGAACACTGAGGAAGGGGGGAATCTGATTAACTGTCGATAAGGACAAATGTGCCAAACAGCTCAGCGCCGCACTGCACCTCTCGGAACCAATCGATGAGCTCGTCCTCCAGGTCCGGGAACTTGCCGAGCCTCTGGCGCTTCTGCCGAGCCTCAGCGTCGGAGAGGTGGAGCCACTTGGGCGAGTCCTTGAGGATCTTGCACACCGTCGTGCGGCTGAGGCGCACGCCGTGGCGCGCCTCTATCTCCGCCACGATCATGTCTTGCGACATCTTGTCGCTGCGCTGCTTCAGCTCGCAGATCTCGCGCTTCATCTCCCCCGTCAAGCTGCTCCGCCGCGCGATGCCCTCCATGTCCGCTCCCGCGCGAGGGGTTCCGCCTTCCGACCCCGCGGGTTCCGCCCCACCCTGACCGAGTGCGGCGGAGGTGTCCAGGTGCGCGGAAGCCTCCCCGCGCGGCATGAGCGCGGAGGCATCGGCGCGGGCGGATTCCGCGTCGGAGACGAGGCGGCGTTGGCGGAGAATCTCGACCTTGCTGACCATCGGCGGATGGCGGAGGGGGAAGGGGCTGGCGGGGGGGAATGAACGAAAGAGGGAGCGGCATTGCAGGGGGGGGTGACGACCTGCGAGCGACCGACGCAAACGGGCTCACTCGGAACAACCGAAAGGCGGCGAGCGGAAGGGCCATTGCGGGCATAAAGGGGACGCGACTATGCAGACACAGCAGAAACAACGGACGGTATTAGCGAGGAATGGCGGGGCCTGATATTGGAAATAAGTTACACGCCTACCGAAAGCTAGTTGCCTGACGAGCGGGTCACGTTGTGCTCCACAGTGCCGCGACAGTCGCCTTATGTACGTCAGCCTTCTCAAGGAACCGATAGTTAGAAGCTAGTCTAGCGCGGATGACGATTGATGAAACCGAGGGTGGTGTGTCAAGTGAAGTGGCATGGGTGGGGGATGTGGTGGTGATTGGCGGGAAAAGCTGAGACGGGCCTGTCAGAAGGCAGCGATGGGGTTTACGCATTTACTCGGATATGATGGATTCGGCTTCCCTGTATAGGAAGAGTCAGTGATACATTGAACGTGAAGATATATGAATAAACCCTTCTTCCCAAATATTGTAACGTAAGGGTGCAGACTTGATCATATTGGTTCAGCATACGAATAACCGGCTCTCTTCAAAACTGTCTGCTAATAGCGCAATTCATTCACAGATATTCATGCGCATGTAACTAAGGACCTGTCAATGCCTGCCACGTGGGCGTGTGCATTCCGTTGACGCCACCTTATTCGCCGAATTCGCGAAATCAAGGGGTTGGCGCGGAAGTAGGGGTGGAGGTGAGGGGGAGGGAGGGGGCAAATCCGCAGTCCCTCCCCAGTAGCCACTCCTTCCCCCCTCCCCGTCGTGTTACGCTTGGCTCCCCGCATTGCGCTTGCGACCCCGCCAAGCTACTCCCACTTCCCTCCCCATTCCCCGCGCCACTCCCAACCTGCCCAGATCCGCCATCACGCCCACGCTCCGCTGAGCGTGCATCTATGTATTGCCTCCACAACCTGCCATTCTTAACCAACGCAGAACACGACACCTAAGTTTCTGGCGAGCATTGCTCTGGCAGAACTCTACCTTGCCTTGTCGCGCATCGCCGTGTGCTCGGCATCCGCAAAAAAGGGAAAGATCGTCTCGTTCACGCCGTGTCGAGCTCGTGTCGTTAGTGTTCTGACGTCAGCATGCACGCCGTCATGGCTCTGCGGCGAACTATCGCCAGCCGCATCGCGCCGGCTGCTCGGCTCGATGGGTTCGCAGCCGCGGCCGCGGCTCAACGCCGCTTCGCGTCGTCCGTCTCCGGCGAGGTACTCTCGGCTTCCTGCCGCCTCCTGAGTTGCATCGGCTCGT